ACACTGGGGTACAAGTGGGATACAGGTTTATGAGAATCACTACACTGGGGTACAAGTGGGATACAGGTTTATGAGGACTACAGCTATTGTGCAGATGAGGGTTAGAAGGAGGACAGTTGGCTTGCAGGTGGGGTACAGATGGGGTTTTGGAGAACTGCAGCTTAGATACTGGTGGGGTAACTGTGGGGTTTCAAAGGACTGCAGTTTATGTTCAGGTTAGGTACAGATACATATCAGAAATATACCAAGAAGTATAGAACTAGGGGGAAAGTCCCACTTTCTATTTCACCCATACAACTTAATCTGCTGCACGTTCAGCATGACTTTGACTTAATCTGCACACTTACTTGGCTAAAATAAAGAATTAAAATTTATATGAGGCAGAATTCCGCCTTATATAATGAGAGCTGTAATAACAAATATATATTTTCTGATGACAAGTATATTACTACTGACTTGAAGCCAATGAAAGAATATCTGGCCAGACTAAATCAGAAGGCAGATTCTGAACATGGTGATGTTCATCTCACATGGACGGGATCAGGGCATCTCAGGAGCATGGGGAACTCTCACGGTGTCATCAAAAACGTAAAACCCATCACATCCACTCATGACGCTAATTGTAAATCTCCTTTTCATTTAAAAAAAACAAAAACAAACAAATAGTTACTGAAAGCATTTAACTGCTGATTTTGTGATTTGTAAAATAAGAAGTCAGAAGCTTTCACAGTATCTAAGCTCAACTGGATCTTGAGAAGTACAGTTCAGATCAATCTTCTAAAAGACGCTCCCGGCCAGCTGGTCTGCCTTACACACAGCAGGGGGCGAAGTGATTAATGAGCTATGAGGGTGAAGGTTCAGGGGTTCGGGGCCAACCACTGCTGGACCTTCTTTTAAGTGACTCCAGCGTTTTCAAGTTATCATTATTATTATTATTATTAAAACCATTGCTAAGCCTACGTGCACGACTCGTGATGTTAAATTCACATTAAGGTCTTCCGCTAAAATCAGTGCAGCATCTTTTACATTAAAACGAAAAAACGTAACGTATAGTGTCCCCGCTAAACACGCCCCATCAGTTATATCTGGTGGTATCTATTTGAGAAGGTATATAGACACTATTACAGCAGATACTTAGATGACAACTATATTAATGGAGATAAATAACTTACCGTTCAGTTTGCCTAGAAAATTCCATTAGGTATTTGTTAACTGACAATGGCTGTAGTTTACCCATAAAATATAAATTAATAACAAATTCTGGACACCTACACAGCTACGTGCGGGACAAAGGGCCGTGGTCTACTGCTGTACCTAAAACAGCCCCTATAATTTACTTGGACATGAAATCACTGATCGTATTTCTTGTATTTATTTTATTTACACGCCGGCGTGAAATGGCTCCATATCACATGAGTATAAATATATTTGTCGAAGATTAAGTACACCTGTTCATCTCAAAGACAGTGGATTCCCTAGAGTAGCCTAATAGAGAGGTTCGTAGCATTTGCTTCGATTTGTAAAACAATTTCAGTGATTCCCGTTTGGAAGAAAACACCCACGCAGTTATATCACAGCTGCTGCTGCAAGATAACCAAATGGATTTAATTTACATCCTAAAATAACAACGCCATTACATTACATCCCCGATCCTTTAAACTGCACGGTAACTTTAAACTATTTCCATAAGGACACGTGTAATTCCGGGAATGTGGTTTTGGAGTTCTCCGATCCCTAATCTGTAGTCATAGGAAGATGGATATTTCTCATTCTTTCATTTTGATCTGCGCTTTTTTAAGTTGGCGAGTTGTAAGTGCTGGAGATGCGGCTATTTTTAGGTTTGACCTCTACGCGAGCGCTTCGGACTGACCTGGCCGACCCTGTCAATAATGTACAGTCAGACCGCCAGGACTCCTTCATTAAAATGGCAGCAGTGAGTTTTATATCACGGAACAACAAATCAATCCTGTGCACTACATTTCGGCTTGACATAAATGGGAGAAGACACGATCTCACTGTTTAAAGCACCTAACTGGCAGACTGGCAATTATACCAACTAGTAAAAGTTATCCAAACATTGCGAATGACAACATTTACTTGGGAGAGACAACCCTAAAATACATGGTCTCCATATCGTTGATAAAGCAGTAATATTTCCAGGCTGCGTGGTGTCATTTTAACACACTATCTGGCACCAATGCGTGCCACCTGACTTACTAAACAAACAAGTATTACAAATATTTGCCAAGCTGTGCATTTGCAGCACATTCGCGTTGTGTACGTCTATTTCCATAAATATGATCGCCAACAGCATTCGGTGTCTTTTTACCCTGTTATGGAAGTGTCGCACTACAGTGGATATGGTGTTAATACGAGCAATAATAACAAGCTTCACGGTGAACATAGAATTTCAGACGCCACGCGCTCTTACCCCCATCTCCGTAAGTTTCGATGCCATAACCGTCCTGCAGACCATTGCTCCATGTGCCGTCGTATCTCGCAGGCGTGTTTATGCTCTGCCGGACTCCGTACCGACCCTTAAACCCATGACTCCATTCTCCACGGTACATCCACTTCCCTTTAGATTCCACCCCCAGCCCATGCCGCTTGCCCTGCGCCCAGTGGCCCTGGTACGTGTTCCCGCTGGGCCATGTGTACACTCCAATTATTTCAAAGCCGTTGGACCAGGAACCGGCGTATTCCCCCTGGCCTTTGGGGCCAGTGCAGATGCCGTGCCCGTGGGCTTTTCCATCCTCCCAGCCGCCGCAGTATGTGCCGCCATCGTCGAAGTCGAACCGTCCGCCCGTCATTCAGAAGAGGCTAGAATGGACGCGCGTCGCAGGAGAGCCTGGATGCTGTATTTTCCCACGGGACCCAATAGCGACGAACAGCCAGAATAAGGGGAAAAATATGATCCTGAGAACCAGGACGATCAGTGTACGACCTGGACGGCTTCGGAGCAGTGATTCTGAGAGTGTGCATGAGTATGTAGTTCTGATTGCCGCACGGGAGCCGTCACAGCCGCACGCCGGTTCTGCAGCTGGCTTTCACAGGGCTTATCACCCCCCTCGCACTCGCCCGGGGAGGGAGAGAGAAATGCATCCCTCAGCCCCAAAGAAGATACTGCCTGTTATTGACGTCAAAGCCGCGGCACCTCCCAGCATCCCTATTAGGCTAAGTAGGGGGTACAGGAAGGACCGCTGTCAAATAATTATTTTAACCCGCAAATTGTATTCCTATCAGATGTTGTCGGCGAGACAGTGTGGTTTCAGGCTCATGACGTGCATTTCATTTTCCCCTGTGTTAATAATGAGCCACAGAGATTTCTAAGTAGCGTGGATTTTAATAGTCAGCACTGCCGTGTAAGCACAATTCTCGTTTTATTGCTTTCAGCAAAAGAAGCAGCACAAGCACAGCAGAATTGTAAATACAAGTTGCTTGCTACTATGCTTGGAAGACACATGGTTTACTGGGTCTCATCATACGCATTTCCAGCGACTGTCTGTTACATCTCTTTTCAACGATGTAGCAGTTCAGTAGTGTTCAGCGCCGTGGTCTCATATCGACTGGGGTTGTGGGTTCGAATCCCACATCCGCTCTGTGTTTACATGTTCTACCCGTGTCACATAATGATATCCCGTCCCTGGTGCACCCAACCTGTTGCATTACGCTCCTTGGGCATAGGCTCCAGGTCCCCTGACCAGGATGAACAGTCGGAAGATGGATGGGATATTAATTTGGAAGGCTTTAAATTGCACGAAGCAATGTATTAACGAAGAACTGGCCGTAAATGTTACTTGTACTGAATAAAGCTATAAGCATTTTTAGCCAGTAACAGGTAAATATTCAGTAAATATGAACGTGCAATTGTGGAGTGATTCCTATATGACATAAACGGTATGTATATGCGTGTCTTTACCAGTTCGTCGTTGTTTATAATGGTTTAAACATCATTATAGCGTCAAGTCTTCATATGAAACACGGATTTTGAAACTGTAGATTAGACACGAGGGTACTTTCAATGTAAATATTACAATATATAAATGCTGCTTTAAAAAAACAATTCTACTGACAGCGCAAAGTAAGGAGCATGTGCAGCGTGGGCTCTTATTTAGATCATCGAAATGCTGACGATTTGCACAGTCCATTCGCGTATTAGATTAACGTTCACTGGGAAGCGCTAGATGTTTTCTAGAAACAAATGTACGGTTTAATGTGCCCACCATGTATTAATGAGCGTACATTAATTTGTATATATCCGGAATCGTATATTATGAGAAATTCGCTAGATATTATTTTTGGATATCTCCCCTTTAAGAGAAGCCAGAAATAGGGTGGCATCTACTGAGACGGCTGGCTACTCTGTTCTGCAAGTGAGCAATGTGGGAGAGCAGCTTAATCTAGAAATGATTAGGCAGTAAAACGTTAAGTGCAAAACTAAACATAAATATAATTGGTCTTTAAAAAAATAAAACGCAAATGCTTATTTTAAACCGAGAATACAATAGGATGTTATTACTGAATACAAACAGTAATATTAAAACAACAATAGTAATAAACGTCAGCTCTAATAACGATAATACAATTAAATTAAAATAGTTAGAAGTTAAAATATCTATATTGGTTGAAGGACTTTATAAATTGATATAGACAGCAGAAAGAAAGAAAATCACTTATTATAGCATTTGTCTATGAAAAGACGATCATTTCTTCCCTGGCGATGAAAGGAATATGTTAAACAATTGCCAATCATTTGAAATCAAATGTGTCAAGAAGTTCAACTGCCGAATAAAGAGAGTCAATCGCAATACTGAATAACGCCACTTCAGCAAATCAGGGCACGTTACAATTATTATGTGCAACACCAGGACGACAGTCCAGACTTCTTAGATCACTGGCATCTGTCTGCACTGTCTTTCCCTTAAGTTTTCATTTTCAGAAACAGGAAGTGTAATACCGTCATACCACATGTAAAGGTATTCAACATGCTAGGTATTTAGCATGCAAGTGCTCAAGTAAAATACCCAGCTGTCACCTATGCAACAAAAATACCCTCTAGCTATAAGATTGGTGTCTATTTTTAGCCTAGACCTTAAGGTAGGGAGCTCGTTTGCATCGCGAACACGGACAGCTGCTGTAAATTGCTCCATAGCACAAAATGTATGAGTAGAACTTAATTGCTTTCATATCCTCCTGAGACCCCGCCCATTCATTTATGTCCATTGTAGTGGACATTTTGTTTTTGCATCTATCTTTTCACTGATGTAAGGAAACGTATTTATTCCTGTTGTACACTAAAGAGGACATGCTGTCAAATTAAAAATAAAAATAAATTAGAAAAAATCTAAATTGTAAGATGTCGTATTTCCTCTAAAGACAAATAACCTAAAATTGAAGGACACTTTTTTCCTTGGGTCTCAGGAGGATATACATTGGTTGTAAAATGAAGATTCCATAAAATCCTGAATGAATGCTCAGTCAGTGTGGATATATGGCAAATTTCTCACGGGTGATGATGATGTCCCGTATCTGCCACTAGAGGACAGTGTGATTGTCTGCACAGATTAATCCGGCGTTATTTCTACCACTAGAGGTCAGTATAGGTACATCAAAGTGTTTTCGACATCCCATACATCTTTTATATCCATGCTGTTGTTTGTGACTTTTGCACATTATTTAATTAAATACGTAATACTATGCACAAGCAGAGAGAATCCGCATGCTTATACATGCGGATAAGTTTACATATTCAAGAGATGGCCTACACAATCGTACAATAAAATCGTAATAGCATTGTTTTAAAGATTGTGCGCCACAAATAAAAATATCACCAAAAAATGAATAATTCATGTTAACAGGCAGCATTTATGACTGTAGCGGCATCAAACTGACACATCTAAATATGAGGGACAGTGTTTCCAAAAAATAATAAAATGATGTTTTGAAGATTGTTGGTGTGACACCAGGCGAGAATGGAGGAGGCAGACCCTGAAATGCGGGAGCAAACAGGTTTATTTTGGAAACCGGGCACTGACAGATCCAAGGGGGCAACCCAGGAGAGTAGTCGGGTCACAAGCAGAGGTCAGGTACCGGGGAAGTCAGTCCTACACCGATGGACGAGATGAGATGACGAGGGGTCGGGAGGAACGGGATCAGCAAGGTAGCAGGGCAGGACGGGGCAGGCAGGCAGGCAGGACACAGAAGGCAGGACGAACCGGGAGGACAAGAGACAGAGAAAATGCTCGGTATGGCTCATTGGGAAATGGCAACAATACTTCACAATGAAAGATTGCCGTTGCCGATCTTAAGAAGTGGGTTGATCAGCTGGTGATCGCCTGCCGGTGCTCGGTCCCGTCCACATGGGCGTGACAGTGCCCCCCCCTCCCCCCCTCCCAATGGCCGAGTAGGGTGACGCGGATGCCCCCGCAGCTGTGGAGCGGGCTTAGACAGATGGGCAGCGTGGAAGTCGACCACCAGGCTGGGGTCCAGGACGTCAGCCGCAGGAACCCATGAACGTTCCTCGGGGCCAAACCCCTCCCAATCGACCAGATATTGGAGGTGCCCTGCACGGCGGTGGGAAACCAGGAGAGCTTGAACCCGGAACACTGTGGAGCCATCCTGCAACGGGCTTGGAGAAGGGACCGCTACGTCATAAGGGGGATGCGACATACAGTACCTCACTGGCTCGCCTGAGGACCAGTGAATGCGAGGGTCATGTTCCTGCAGCCATAGGAGGCCTAGGATTACGTGATCTTTAGTGAGAGAAAACACTCATTCGGAGTATAATACTTCACAATGAAAGATCGGCGTGGATCAGCTGGTGATCGCCTGCCGGTGCTCGGTCCCACCCACATGGGCGTGACAGTTGGGATACCTCTTCCAAATTGAATAGTTAGTTGAAAGTTGTATCATCACTTATTTTGGTTTCTGTGATCTACTAGGGTGGTCCAAATTTTTTTAATTTTACAAAGTCAACCAATTAACAATGTGGGGGGAAAAAAAATCTAAATTACTTAATATTTAGGGCATGCTCAGTGCATGCAGTATATCATATAAGCGATTATTATCCTCCATGGCTGGTAATTATCACTATACTGATATACCCATATCCCGACACAAAATACAGATACATACGGCAGATACATACAACAAAAGCACTTCATTACACAGTACACTGTGGAACTGTGGTCAGTACGACTGACTGACTGAATGCGAAAGTCTGTTTTCTAACAATCAGTATGGTAGCTTTAGCACCACTGGCTGCTAGTGCTTGGAGATAGACCCTGCAAAACCGTTGACCTATTTGAGTCAGGAAAACGGTTTTGGTGCTTCCTGATTACTTGGGAGAGCGAGCTGCATTTTCTCTTCGTCTTTTGTCAACAGTGCATTGTAGTCCTGCATTAGTGCAACTCCGCTTTCAGCAGCGTCACTGACAATGCGGAGTTCTGGGAAGTAGGCTTCACTGGTCGCCCCCGTCTCAGGATCAGCAGAACACAGAAAGTGATCCTTGTATTGTAAGTAGCATAGAAGTGCGACTGCTCATCCCTGATCTTTGAGGGGTCCGCGCTTTGGTCGGTCCTCAGTTCCTTGGTGAGCAAGTTCTTCTATCATGGCTCTTTTCTCAGCTACTACTAACAACGTCCTGATCAAAAACTGCAAGTGCTCCCAACTCTTCACTGAGATACCAGAACGGACCACACAACTTCTTCAGCACAGCAAGAGATGTTGGTGATCCAGATGATGCCAGATGTTTCAGCAGTTGCCGGTCACTGGTTGGTGTTGCAATTGGCAGACGAGAGAGGAACCATGATCTGACGTAAGCTGCTACACCAAATAGACCTGCCAGCACAAATACAGCAATAAATGCTTGATTTTTTTTAAATTCACATACAGTGTGCCTTCTCATGTCACTTGAATTGAGCGTACCCCAAATGTAAATGTTTCTTGACAATAAATGACACTTTAATGCTATTTAATGGTAGTATCAAATGGGGGGGGAGGAAAGATTTTTTTTTCATACGTTTTTGGACATTTCTCTGTATGCCAACAACACATACTGCAGAAATCACAAAAGCAGTCCTAGTTTTTACGACGTTGGTCATTGCATTAAAGCTGTAAACTATGTAGGACATAATGATTGACTCTAATACCTAAAAATAAGAGCACATTTCATTAGCCTGGAGACCAAAATAAAAGAATGACTAAAACAATCCCTATTTTGACAACTAAACCACA